TTTTTTTGAGACAGAGTCTTGGTCTGTTGCCCAGGCTAGAGTGCAATCTCAAACTCCTGAAGCAATTCTCCTGCCCCAGCCTCCTGAGTAGCTGGGACTGCAAGTGTGTGCCACCGTGCCTGCCTATAAAAGCTTTTTTTAAAAACCAAAAGCTAATAAAATAACTATTTAACAGTAATAAGGGAATATACTTGACTAATATCTCCCTAAAAAGTGAGATTTTGTTTAATGATGGAATCCTGATGTTAAGTATGGTAATGTTATGTCTCTGTTATCTTTAACAATTTACACATTAATTTCATATTTGCAATATGAGAAAAATGTTTAAATAGTTATGAATTGTGCTTTTCTGAACAGAAAGCCCAAAACAAAAAGAGCCAAGAGATTCCTTGAGAAGAGAGAACCAAAACTCAGTGAAAATATTAAAAATGCCATGCTGATTAAAGGAGGAAATGCAAATGCAACAGTGACGCAAGTACTTAGAGATGTGGTACGTATATATATTTTTAAAATGGTATTGAAATCATTTTAGAACTTTTCAGCATACTAGGTTACGCTGCTGGAGAAATACATAGGTAAGTTTGCCTTGCCTTGTGAACTGTTAGCATTAGAGAGAACTAAAGTTGGGGATTATTTACCTTGCCAAGGCACTGACTACTGGTTTTCCTTAAAGCAACTAGTTCCCTCACTGGATTTAAACTGTTTTCAATTGCTAGAATTTGGTTTACTCACATTTTAGGAAAATATCTGATTTGTAAAGTGAAGTAACTACATACTGCTATATATTCATTCAACATCACTAGTTACTTGTTAGGTGCTGGGAATTAATAAATAAGGCATAGTCCCACCCTTCAGTGAGCTTAGTAAGAGAGATGGACATTTAAAAAATTGTAGCATTGTGAATTAAGTGCTGTGCTGGAGGCATGTACAGGATAAGATGGGAAACAGTATTAATGTCACATAGGGGGCTGGGCGTGGTGGCTCACGCCTGTAATCCTAGTACTGTGGGAGGCCAAGGTGGGAGGATCGCTTGAACTCAGGAGTTCGAGACCAACCTGAGCAAGAGCAAGGCCCTGTCTCTACTAAAAATAGAAAAAAATTAGCTGGTTGTGGTGGCACATGCCTGTAGTCCCAGCTACTTAGGAGGCTGAGACAGGAGGATCACTTGAGCACAGGAGTTTGAGGTTGCTGTGAGCTAGGCTGACGCCACGGCACTCTAGCCCAGGCAACAGAGTGAGACTCTGTTTCAAAAAAAAAAAAAGAAAATACCACATAGGGGAACCCACACATAGGGTGGGCTTCCCAGAAATAACACTTAAGCTTCATTTTGAAGGAGGGGTTGGAGCAAGAAGGCGGGGAGGAAGAGAAGGGCTTCCAAGGCTAAGAAAGAGGCATTTGCAAAAGAGAGTGTGAAGGTGCATGATGCATTTGGAGAATTGCAAATAATTGGGGGTGGCCACCGGAGAGTGGGCTGGGTGAGGCTAAAAGAAGAGGCAGGGGCCAGGCGCACACCTGTAATCCTAGCTCTCTGGGAGGCCGAGGCGGGCGGATTGTTTGAGCTCAGGAGTTCGAAACCAGCCTGAGCAAGAGCGAGACCCTGTCT